GTGGCTGGCAAATGTTTGAGTGATCTGGTTTCTATTTATGGGAACTTATGACGAGGTAGACGCATATCAACGGAGGGGGGAGGGCGTGTGAATAAGTTTGACCAACGTACCTCAGCCTTGAGCAAAGTCATGTCCATGGAGATCTCCTGACTCCGGAATTTCTTCAGTGCCTCCACCGCGCAAAATATGTCGTCGAAGTTGGTGATGTTCCGAGAAATTGTGCGGTCAAATTCATCTAGGAGACTTACAACCGGCTGAATTGGTGCAATAAACAGTTCGACAAACTTCTGTACGAATATCTAGGTTAGAATGGATTAAGAACAGTTGGGATTGTGTTAGCGGGTCACGGTTAGTAAACAAAACAGAGTTAAGGCACCTTTCTCCTAGGAACAATTAAACTGAAGAATGAATTTAACTCGGCGCCGGAAATGGCGTTTGACCAGGCGAGAGCTGCTACCACTAAACCAACTTCTCGCCCAGTATAAACACTTAAAAGTGCGTATCACAACCTCAGTAACCGTAATTGATGTAGTGATGCCTAAACATTAGGTATCTTTTTCATCCCATCGTAGTCAGGTCATATTCTACTTCGGCTATATCACTAAAATCACATTTGGTCGTTCTTCGCATCTATGCCCATTTGAGTTGTGATGAGACATTTCTAGTTAGTGATTTTGTGGAAAAGAGGAAACTCGGGTGAGCTGCTTCGTTGCTGGTTTGTTTAGCTAACATGACAGCTGGATCGCGAAGATATTTCATCACCAACAAGCGTCGAGTGGCTGAACTCCCCCTGTTCTGTATGTGCTTAGATATTTTCTAAACAATGACTAATGGCTCCAAGTTGACTGGTCGGTCTCGAGGTGGCTCTGGTTGGTTCAAACCAAACAGATATAAGGAAATGATAAAAAAATGACGCGAGTCAGACTCCACGCTGACCAATCAAATTACGTGAAAACTACCTTGGCACCAGCCAGTTACTTTAGAAGCCTTAGATTCCGTTTAGATACTATATAAGCACAGGCAGAAGAGGAGGGATTTAGCCACTCAACTCCTCAACGACAATGTCACTTTCATTGGTAATGAAACTTTGGCAATCTACCAAGCTCCTCAAACACATTAATAGCCGAATGTTTGGTTGAAATTACGTTTTTTTTCGAAGAAAATCTTCCAAAAGGCGGAATCCCGGTAGGTCCCAAGTGGGATGTGTGACGAGGGGAGCAATGTGCGCGCTAATGTTTCATTGTGCAGCAGAACTAGATTGCTAAATAATATTAATCGGATGTACAAAACTAGATTATCTGGGAAAATCTACTGGAAATTGTCCGGTGGCCAGCCGCCACCTAATAAACAAACAGCACGCCAATTGGATGGATGTGTCACGTGCAGACTACGAACCAAACGAATGCATGCTCCCATTGGTCAAAATGCCGACCAATCTGGATCGAGCATCTTTAGGTTGGCGCTTCTCGCCCCCTCGTGGAGATTTTAGCACGACCTTCTGGAAGATTCGGTGATTACCCAGTAGATACAGTTGTAATAATCTTCTTTGTTTCCACAAAGGGCTGTCTGAAGCTAGCGTACCTTTTGATTTACCATAGTGGGTGGAGCAGGGAGCCAAGGACCGATACAGTGTTGCACAACCGTTCAGCAAATCACAGAAGAAAGTCATGGAATCTCGCTCGTGAATTTCTTGGTAGAGATAGTTATGTGGAGTTTCATCGGTATGGAATGCACAGGGCACTGTTCTTCTGAACTTGTCTTATTTATCATTTATTTCGTATGGTTGACATTTTGGCACATCACTGAGCTTTTATCAAGGCATTGTGATGATTTCGAATGAGATTTACGCAACTCAAAATGGGAGGACAACAACAAATCTAAAAAATCTCTTCACTATAGTACTATTATGAAAGTCGAGTAACCATTAGCGGTTTCCTATCGGAAAAGAGTGAATGAAGACGATCAATGAAAATGTACGTTTTTATGCTCCGTCAGTAGCTTCTGTACACTAAGACGGAAATTTTCCGTGTGAACTTCCAACGGACCGACAATATACAAGCAGAATAGTCTGTCCAGTTTGGATCCCAATTCTTGCAGTTCTTGGAATTTGACTTCAAACTCGGCTGATGTTGGTTTTTCGAAGTCATTTAGAAATCGATCCAGATGTGCGGCAGGGCTTATCTTCCATAGCAGTCCGAATATCTCCAGTGGTTGGGTGACGGTACGCAATTCCTTCACTTGTCCTGTAATGAGGGGAACAAGATCGATGATATTGGACTGACAGAACAAAAGAATCAAATGAAGTATCGCAGTGTACTCGCAGAATAGGGTGCACGTGCAGTTAGTATGCGCATGAGGCTGGGTCGCAAATTCGTATGCGGCTTACGAATATTTTGTGACATGTTGGTATGAATATGCTGCTGTTCATATTTACTTAGGAAATCACTTCTTTTATTAGTAATCAAAGTTGAATGAAGTTCTTTATCAGGAACTGATAGATTTCGAAGTGAACTGCCCGGTCAGTGAACCAGCGTTTTTTAATCTAATTTGGTTATTCCTTGAAGAAAGTTGTAATACACTCTTATCGTTTGGCCAACTATATCAAAGAAACTGAAGACACAGGTAAAAGAAACACTAACAAGAATGTAACAAACCTCGTGGAAGGAACAGGACTTTCTTCATCGTATTTTGCCACGTTACCAGCATCGTTTGTGCTCGATAAATCTCACGGTCGTGCCGGACATCTTGAAAACAGTTCGTGAGAAGTTCAACTGACTCCGAGTCTTTTGTAGTCGTCACAGTACCTAGGAGTACAAACACATGCACTTTTCGTTGGAAACCAATTGCGCAATTGTTTTTTTCAAATATGGTCATTCAAACTGCTCAAAGTCTATACCAAACAAGTAATACGTATTGGAAAAGATTGTGTAAATCACGCACCAATCGTGTTACGACAAAGCAGGTTTCCTGACAAAGAAATACAATCGAAAACGCAGCTTGTGAAGTGGTGCTAGGTTTCAAGGCGTTCACATGAATATCACTAATAGCACGATCCCAGAGCCCATCAGTTAGGTCTCCTAGTAATTGCAATTACGCTAGCAGAAAAGTATTGGCTCCAGGCATTGTCGTTTGATCAGGAATGGGTTATTAGCGAACCACACTCATTTGCAAACTAATCTGGTTTTGCGAGGGACTCACCTGGAACCCAACTGAATATCTCGTTTGTGATGTCTCCTGTCTCCGCCTCATGTTCCAGTTGCTACGATATTCAGGATATCGCAATATATGTACAGAAGTGGTGCACTGCTCACAAGGTTGCTGAAAATTCTTCGACAGCCCACAACCGGTTCTGCCCTTCTTTGGGCTAATCAGGTAGGCAAAGTCCCCGAGTTGTCACCAACCTTGTGTTCTACTTGATTGTTACAATGATTGTCACAATCGTTTGTATACATCATCATCGCTCTACTCTCAGGCACCGCTCTCTTCTCCGAAGCCGATAAGCGATGGAATTTCAGAATCTGCCAACAAACCACTTGCATATTTGATGCGCAAAATGTACTAGGAAGTGATCTACTGTTTTTGACGCCCTGGGCAGCATTGTTGTTAAGACTACTGGAAGCCCGAGATGGTTCACTGGTCAAGGCGTGAACTCACTGACCGGGAGGTCCGTGGTTCGAACCCGCATCTTGACTGCTCTTGTTTAGGCTTGGGTGACCCGGCCAATACTCAGCCTCAGCAGCTAGGCATCGAAAGCGTCTGCCTTCGAAACGAACTGGTGAAAAATCTGAAACCGTGTGGGCCTACTAATCATCCCAAAAGTTGGTTTGGAACATTGCATTTTTGCTCATTGTTGCATTAGTCAGTGTGCTCCTTGACCCCCAAACATACGGGAAAACACGTATAAACACTAGTTCAAATTGATTTGCAAATGAGCGTATTTCTCGAAAACAGTCCAATTTGGGTTCAAGTAGAACATAAAGTTGATGGAAACTCGGGGACTGCGCCTACCTGATGAGCCCCAAGAAGGGCGAAACCGGTTGTGGGCGGTCGAAGAGATTTCAGCAACCTTGTGAGTAGTTCCCTTCATGAAAACTAATTCAGTTGCTTTTGCAGATGACTTCCGTCTAGTATGGCTTAAATTCATGGTAATTTAGCCACCTAAAAACCTACTTAAAAACCCTTATGAACTTCAACCATATCTTCTGTTGTGTCACGATCGTTTTTCACCTGCAACATTAAAATTTTCGTATTGTTGAAGGAAATATTTGGAGAACTCATGTTTGTTAAAACGTGATCAAACTGGTGCTGGTGTCAATGTTGATGACGACCACAGTCACGGTGCAAACATTGGTACTCAACACTTGCGTGTATTTCAACAAGTAACATTAGGTGAACTATCAAACGGTGTATAGTATTTTCCTCCAGAGTAAACAGTAATCTTCACGGGGCAATTTCCCGGTCTTTTTTCGTGCTCTTTCAAAAAAATAATCCCAATGGCTCCCCAAGTTTCCAAGTTGGCTGGTTGACTTCCCCAGAAGAACCTCCGTCGTTTTCCCGGTATTACTAGCAGGCAGTTAGGCGAAATCCAATAGTGTCCAAAGCAACGCTGACACTACTAATCTGCGATACTAACGAGCTCTTTTTTTGCTTAGCTTGACTCAGTCGAGAGTATAGCTTTATGCCGGACAGATACAAAACCGATCGATTCTACCAACATTCAGTAATATACAAACACCGTCATTGATTTTTTAACTCTTGCGGCCAGGGCACACATAATTAAGCATTCACTGTAAACCAGATGATAGGACTAGATAGCGCTGAGTATGCATTGACACCTTGCTCGCATCCTGGTGAACGTCTCAGTCACACATATGAGAAACCAGTGGATAGCCAAAACGTCCATCCGGGTTGGATTTAGAGAGTGCTACCACATTCTGATGGCGGTTGAAGTCATACACACTTAACTATGACAGAGAGCCACTGTTAATGGGACAATCCCTTTGTCCCAAATGGGTCTTGAAGGACGGACTGTGGAAGCCTCCAAGCCAATGTAGTGATTGCCGAGCTCTGCTTACACACGCTCACTCGCCCACCAGACTGCCTCTGCCCAGCAAGTGACATCTCGTATTAGGCAGACGAGCGTATCAACCGACCAGTACTGCGGTTCCCTTGCCTGTCCTTCACCTGCCTTGCTGGGTCATGGACCATAAGCCTATGAGATTAAGAGTGACGGCCACGATTGCATGCAATTCCACGAGTTCGTCTGACCTGTTATGAGAGTCAGGCAAATGCCGATAAGTCTCAGGCTTAGGTGGTTCATGGCTGCCATCAACATGTATAGAACTATGGAATACGACACAATGTTCCAGATAACTTCAAGGATGTGCGAGTGTGTTTGATTAGAGTGAATCCGAAGGCAGCGGCCAACCAGGCATCCGTGATGAACTTTTTTCGGATTAAGCTGAGAGATGTAATGTATGTATACACGTCAAGCCAACCGCATTAGACCATGGTGCGTAGATATATCGTTCAGTGCCGCCGTAGAACGTGACCTTGCACTTGACGTCCCTTTCGTTGAATTCGAACAACCCAGAAAGAACAAAACGGCTTGGGGAGATAATCATACGCTGACTTGTTAAATAAACCTTCCAAATAGACTGGTTCACTGACTCAGACTCTGTGTGGTCCCCACAAAGATATCCTCCTATTGATTGAGAGCTAGCAGGCAGTAAACCGTGCGCCCTCAAGCACTCGCACTCTCATTCTCTATGTGCTCACTGTGACATCGGACGTATTGTCCACCAGAATTATGCTGCTGCCTGACGTTACCGATCATGTACTATTAGTTCATAATGTACTTTGTTTTGGATCATAGCTGTCCACCCGACACAGCTGCAGTCTTCCGGTGGGTCTTCAGACAGCCGAGTCGGACAATAGACCAAAAACTAGTCTAAAAAGTTACAAGGAGAGCTTAAATCTGGAAAATTCTAAAATCAAAAGAGCTGCTGTCTCTGGAACTCCGTTGACAAAACAACTATTGCCAGACCAAGAACAACAAAGTCAGTGAACAATTATCTCGATGCTCTGAATTTCCACTTGCCTTTCGTGTTTTCAGAACGTCCAGTCACTGATGTGTCAGTTTTAGCAGAGTAGACAAATGAGCTATCTGCAGCAATTGCCGTATGGTTTATTGGCTCATATTAGCTTTTGTGTCAAGGTTAACTGAGGAGCTTGAAAAAGCATAGTGCACAACTGATTGGACATATTCGTGTCAGTTTGATCAGATAGGAATGGTTCGTATCCGGTTTCCCCCC